TCTTCTGGATCTGTTGTGTGACATCAATATACCTGGAGAGGGTTTCATGGGGGTCAACACCCCCGTGGCCCGGTCTGAAACCAGTGGTAGTAAGCTTGGCTCGAAATACCTATAAACTCTGGCTCAGTTCCGGGGCTGGCCGGGAAGTATGAGAATCTCCTCTTAACTAGCTGCCCGCTGACCTAGCAGCAAATAGATACAAAGGACTGTTGTGGGTCACATCCTCGGGTAAAACTCCATTGCTGGGTTTATCCTCGGTGATTGTCCTAGGCCAAGGTATTGGAAACGTCGTCTCTTAATATCCATGCTGATATGCAAGACTGACTTAGTAACATAATGTAACACATAATGATGCTGTCTGGGTTTATGTTACCCATTTTAACTAGTCACTGGCCTGTGATTTATGATGTTCACCTCCCGTGGGGTAAGCCTCGCCCGTTCTGTGACAGACTACCCTTTTATTTTCAATATCTCGTTTTCTTATATAAAGTCTTACAGAAAACGAAACTTGTTTGGGGTAAACTTAGACCCAATATGCAACTTTCCATGAAACTAACTATGAAACGTTGAATGAATGTACTGTAGAATACTTAGCTCAAGTTTATCGGGAAAAAAATGAATATAAGTCACTCCGACTTTTTCGGGTTATCCTGGGTAATCTACACACATATTGCTATGTATGATAATTAATGTAACTGAGTACCTTAATAATCTTACTTAACAAGGTTAAGCATGTTTCCCTGTGAAGGATAATCTTGAGTGATCTACAATCATTTTTCCTCCTTTTTACCTAACCATCTTCAGAGCGTTTTCTTTATTATAGCAAAGAGTAATTAGTATAATTATTATCCTTAGAATGACCTAAAGGCGCGACCTGTGGTCAAGCTATTCGGAAAGAAAAAACTTAAACTCAAATTAGAACTCAAAAATTTAAAAAAAAAAAAAAAGGTTATTGGTAGAACACGATAAAAAATAAATAGTATCACACGAAGTTAAAATAATCTGCATTAATACAAAAACTCATCGAATGGATTTATTCGATGTAGCGACTTCTGAAAAGAGGACGCCATGATTATTGTATACATTGATTTTTCACCTTATATTGCTGATGTTTGTCGTTAATAGCTTAAAAGAGACTCAGAGGGAGGGGAGAGAAAAGCCATGGGTCCACACGACTGGTGTGGACAAGAGGAGAGGAAGGAGGTGGAATTATAAGAAATAAAATAAGGATGCCAAGAAGAGGACTCGGTATTAGAACGTCCGGAAAGCGCTGGGGTAAAAAGGTTTCCTCCAAGGAAGATGGGCACAGATCAGATGCCTTGAATCAAGAGTCCTCCACTAGCTTTGAGGCAGAGTGTACGTCAGGCGGAAGCCTAGAAGACGTACGACACTGACATCCACGTTTGTTACGGTGCGTGTGAAAATCCACGCTCGAAATTTCGGTGTATACCCCGCCCTACCAGACGCATGCCACTCGTCTTTTTTTATTATTATTATTTAGGCTACCGATAATGTTCCACTGGATTCCCGACACGATGATAAGTAGGAAACAGCTTCATTACAAGAATATGACACAGACTGAGAGAAGTTCGCAGCTGTCAAAAAGTTTAGCAACATTGCTTCGGTATTTCCGGTGTTAGCTCGGCAGACAAGAGAAACAACTGTGGTGATGGACAGCTGTTGAAGTTCCAGTTCATGGAAGATATCACAGTAGACAGTACCACGGCATCCTACTCCACAAACTTGATCACTACGGTATAAGAGGCCATGCGCTTGCTTATTTCAAATCTTACATTACTAATAGGTATCAGTACGTCACCATTAAAGACACAGCATCAGCAACACGGCCACTTGATACTGGAGTTCCACAGGGAAGTGTCCTTGGTCCCCTGCTCTTCCTCATATACATCAATGACCTTCCAAACGTATCCCAACACCTGAAACCCATTCTCTTTGCTGATGACACGACTTATGTCATCTCTCACCCTAATCTTGCCACCCTCAACACCATTGTGAATGAGGAGCTGATTAAAATATCGACTTGGATGACAGCCAATAAACTTACGCTTAACACTGACAAAACCTACTATATTATGTTTGGTAGCAGAGCAGGAGATGCACAAATTAACATTAAGATTGACAACACTCTAATTACCAGAAATAATGGAAAATTCCTAGGCTTATACCTTGACAACCTGAATTTCAGCACCCATATCCAGCATATAGCCAAAAAAGTATCCAAAACGGTTGAGATCCTCTCCAAGATACGATACTACTTGCCGCAAAATGCCCTTCTCACACTATACCACTCACTTATTTATCCATACCTCACCTATGCTATTTGTGCTTGGGGATCAACTGCAGCAACACACCTAAAGCCAATAATAACCCAACAAAAAGCTGCAGTAAGAATAATCACTAAATCCCATCCCTGGCAACACACCCCCCCACTCTTCATAGATCTAAACTTACTCCCAGTTCAGTACATCCACACTTACTACTGTGCAATCTATATCTACAGGGCCTTAAACTCTAATATCAACCTTGACCTAAAACGCTTTCTTGATAGTTGTGACAGAACCACAGGCATAACACCAGACACAAACATCTCTACGACATTCCCCGTGTCCGACTAAACCTTTACAAAAATTCAATGTATGTCAAAGGCCCTAAAATCTGGAATACCCTACCTGAGAACTCTAGAACTGCAGACACATTCATCACCTTCAAAACTACCATTAGAAAACATCTTATCTCCCTGATACACCCCGTCAACTAACTACACGAATACCACCTGGTGGTTCACACTTACACTCACTCACTCATTTGACCATAAACAGAAATATTAATCTCAGTCTTAAAATAATGAATCCTGTGATACTCCAATACTGAAACTATGTACTGTGCCAAAACAAAAGCATTCACATTGCTAAACTCACAAACTAGTATTTAGTCACTTAGCCATAATACCAACTTACCTCATAATTTGTAATATTTTACAATTAAGAATAAAACTAAGTATGCCCGAAATGCCTAGCCATGCTAAGCGTTCTAGTGGTACACTCTGTAATCACAATTTTACTACATGTAAACCAAACAATAACCAAATTTCTGTAAACTCAGTATTGTAATCCTTATAGAGAATAAACTTTGAAGTATGTGTATGATGTATATCAGATGCGCCACGCAGGTCAGTGGACAAGTCGAGGAGGTCATGAGGGGTATCTCAAGTAAAAGTAATGGTGGTGGCGGCGGAGCAAGAGGAATATTACTGAATATTGTAAAGACGACATTTCAGATCGCCGTTGCAAATAGGTAGAAACCGGAGCCATAATAAAGGAGTGTGTACGTAGATAATGAAATCCATAAACAGCACTAAAATACTTAGTTTTCCATATAAGTAAGATTTTCTTCTGTTTTTTAACCCAGGAGGGTTAGCCACCCAGGATAACCCAAGGAAGGCAGTGCAAGGGACTGTCTTATTTTCATTTTGGTCCTCAATCTTGTCCCCCAGAATGCGGCCCACACCGGTCGACTAACACCCAGGTACCTACCTGCTAGGTGAACAGGATAACAGGCGCAAGGAAACGCGTCGAAATGTTTCCACCCCGCCGGGCCCTCAGCGTGTGAAGCGAGAGGTTTGCCAGCCAGACCACGGGGCCCCATACTACGACAATATTACATTTGTATACAGCACCAAACCCTTGTGGGTAATTCAGGCTGTAGCAAACCCTTCTCTCGAAGTCATGGTTTTCTACCAGCCCAGCACGGAGAGAGAGAACACGTATTTCCAATGGATACAAATTAGTAACATGACGTCGTTCTCTGGTTGATAAACTGGAAATGTGCAAGTATAATTATAATCCTGATCTTTGGGAAAAGATGGATAAATTCAACTATTTTTCGGACACCGATCTACAGCTTCTCTTTGAATGAGTGAGAATCTTAGTGCCATCCCCAAGACTATCCGACAAAGGGTTAAAAAGGCAGATTGTAAAAGGGGACTATATGTATATATATAATTTCAAATGTATACACACACCTTAGCAGTAAGATAAATAATGTTCTAATGTCCTTTATATTTTTTATCTCGTACAATAAATAGTCAGTCTTATTGCTATTATTAAATTCGAATCTCTTGCCATTTTAAGCACTTATATATGCTTTTAATTGCTAATAAGCAGGAACAGTCTGGTTGATCAGGTCCTGATCCACCTAAATGCCTGGTCTGGACCACACCGGGGGCCTGAACAGTTTACACAAGGCAGGATGGATCCATGAATTAATGTTATGCCAAATCCTGACCCCCATCATCTGCAAGTCACAGTAGAAATCTTGATTCGTTACACAGGTGACCCTTGGAACACACTCCAAGGTAGACTTTATTACTAACATAACACCAAAGTTTACGCTCCTTCGAATAATTCTTAGCTAATTTTGGCAACATGGATAATGCAAATTTAACTGTATACTACGCTGGCAAAGGCCTCTTGATCTAAAGAAGTGTATCTATTATCCCTTTCAACTGGATGAAATCTGATTATTTCAGGATTCTCCAGGCGTTATACTGCCTTTATGAGCTTAGTCCTTCTACACTGATATAAGAAGAATAAATGCATGTATTAAATCTGACTCGCTACTGTCGTGTGTGTGAAGTTAGAGCCTCTGTAGTGTTCATCTTGGTCTATTGACTTCCGTGGCCAGGGATCAACATCTCATTTGTACATCATGTAGGTGAACTTCAGTAAACAATATCCCGTTAAACCTGACCAGTGTCTCCTGGGACATACTTCACCATTGTGTCTTGGGGAAGAGAGTGGGTTATACACCCACTTGATAGGGAACCGGGGGGGGGGGCAGTTTACAAGATTATTATTATTATAATCAAAAAGAAGCGCTAAGCCACAAGGGCTATACAGCAGTTTACAAGAAAGTTAAAAAAAAAAAAAAAAAAAAAAAAAAAAAAAAAAAAAAAAAAAAAAAAAAAAATAAGCCATTCCAATAGCTACAGTATTTATATACAATGATTACATTAACAATCATTCACAACAGCTTACATCAGTGACTCGCGAAACAGGAAAAAACACAATTGCAAACAAACCATGGAACGGGTGTATAGAAATATACTACTCTAGTTGGATGAATGTTTATAGAGCCAGCTGGCTCAGTGGTTAACGCATTGGCCTGTAAGTTTTAAGACACTTTTCCCATGGGTTCAACCTTAACCCGTTCCCTGGTTTGTTTGCATCAATGATTCGCAATACCTTGCAAAGCAATCATTTTATGGAATGATTCTATGCATAAAAGAATTTTTTTCTTATTAATTCTTCCCTTGTCTAGAGAGAGAGAGAGAATATAGTTAAACTTTTAATCAGTAATGGCGTGACTTGAGCGCCAATATTAAAATATTCTGCGTCGTGTTTGTGGTCACAATACTGTTGCCTGAACAACTAACAACTAGCCCACACTTTAGAATGGACACCTTAGATGACGTTTCGGTCCGTCATGAACCATTATCATAACACAATTAGACATAATGAGCCGAAACGTTTCCTGAATTTTCCTCTTTAGTGAGTTAATTGCCAATCTTTGCTATGTTACTTAATTTAAAAAAAAAAATTGTAAACGTTAGACGCCATATTGTAAAAATCATAAAGCATATTTGAATAAATTAATGATATACTATAAAGAATAATTATTTAATAAATGCTTCTGAAGTTCCTTGGTTAATATGTTATTTATGTTGCTAACGCGGGCACACTTTGACGGCTGATGGTTAGTACTGACAGCTTCAAGTTTGTCCCATATTGTGGCCAGGAGGTGGTCCAGTGACGACCCCAACACGTGCTGCTCCCACGACTCAAATATAACCTGTCGAAAGAGACGACAGATTAGAAGAATGACAGCGAAAGACACCTATTGGGGAAAATTTTTAAGTGGAGGTTTTGATACAGCCTTCAGTGGACACGGTCAAATTGATTTAGAAAAATGTGACTGCTGCTACAGCTCCTAGTAATGTTTTTTTTTTTTTTTAAATAAATTTAACCTATTTAACCTATTCTTAACTAGACGCTTCTAGTTAAGAATACGTTAAATAGAAGCTCTTTATTTACTACCCTCTTCGGATTATAGCCATTTTTCCATAAACGAAAGATTAACATTGTTTCTCAGGACTATAAGACATTGATGGTATCTGAGCAATTTTAGGAGATACCCTCACTGTCAAACACCTGCATATTAACGATGCAGGCAGCTTTATAAAGTCGCGAAAGAGAAACCCTTCTCCCCTCCTTGCCTTCTGCCTCATTCATAGAACCGGTGACCCAGGGCGTCTGCATTTTATATATATATATATTATATATATATATATTATATATATATATATATATATATATATATATATATAAACAAAAACACCTGCTTACATTGCATTCAGTTTGATGGTGAATTACTGAATTCGCTTCAAGCTCCTTTGAGTTAAATGTCGGCTTAGAATTAGTTGTAACTTTAAAGCTGAACGAAACTTTCAGAATTTAGCTAAACTAAGTAACTTATGGATAAAATGCTCGTTTTCAGTCAGGTTAAGTACCACTATATCTGTCCAGTAACCTGATGGATGACCATGTCTGCACAGAATTTTACACATAAAAGTTATGCTTTCTAAGAAAAAACTGGTTTTTAGTTTTACAATATCACTAAATTCACCTGATACTGCATCAAACGAAGGAAGAAACCTAATATGTCGAAATATTTAATTTTTATGCTGAATATTTAATTACAATGACGCACCTGATAACTGATTTAGAAAAAAATTATTATCTCATCGTTTTAACATTTTTTTTTTCATAAAATTCCTGACTAATAACAGTTCTATAAACTGTCGCCACAGCAGTAAAAATCAAATTGTATCCTCCTAGCAATACCAATAAATAACTAACAAATGATATCCCAACTATATTTTTTTTAATTACGTCCAATATAAATCAATTTGAGATACAACATAACAAAAGCTGAAATTTGTTTTGTGTAACTTAGAAAATTATGAATTGTTTACCGCATTTATATGCAAAACATGCACAAAAAATAAGTGATATCAATTGTGCAGGAATGAATGCATAGTCTATTTCAATATAAATGCAACCTTAATTTAAAAGAAAATCACGTCAGATGAAAATATAACTGCTCACTTGTAGTTTCATCTCTGCACCATTGACGAAGGCCATGGCATTGCCATGGAGGATGGAAACTCCATTTGTGGCTGCATGAGGACACATGTTGTAACCTTGCGAGCATTGGAATATCCGATAGTTCCATTCACAGCCCAGCTCGTACACCAGCTCGCCATACTGCGGGACAACGTAGAGTTAGATACCCAAGATAATAAGTAAAAATGTTGATTATCATAACGTACTTTCGGTAATATTAACGCACCTTTACTGTTTTACTGTTCACTTGCCTTTCATAAAAGATGAAATACTGTCTATGTAATAGCTGGTGTATACAGCGAGTTCAGTGAAAGTGACCAGCAAAGGCAGATCTGCCTGACCCAGTTCAGGTGCCTGACCTAGTTCAAGAGCCGCTGTAATGATTCTTTTTAACTGTAAGAGTTTAAACGGGTGATGCCTGACCTGAGTCAAGCACAACACTTGTGACCTGAGATACAGAATTAGGTCACCGTAACCATACACTAAAATAAACCAAAATTAAGTGGTGGTGGCGGCCCCGAGACGAGCCCCTGCAGTGCACCCCTCGCCACCTCCCGGAGTGCAGAAAGCCAACCTGTAAAATCACCAGACAAACTGTACAAATGAATAACCCTGTTGGCTCTCCTTCCTTCGCCAAGGACCCCATCGACGCACTCATTCTTTCTAGCCATTCTTTCCGGGAGAGTGGTATCCTGACAGCAGTGATAAGTGTCATGAGTCCATGGCCTTGTACTGTAATTGAAAACCAGAAGTTGGTTAACCTGGCTGTGACCTTTTATTTTATTTTACCCGGATCTCCACTGACCAGGTCACATCCTCCGCAACTCCATAACTGTAGACCTGAACTTTTCCTCTGTAAGACTTCGTCAGTATTATTGAAATGTCAGACTCAGCCTATTCTCCTTAGTAAACAACCTCTATTGACAGAAGTTCGGAATGGCAATAGGATCACCACTCATTGCTCTCTTGGCTATCATTTATCTGAAACATCTTGAGAAGGATCATTTCAAGGATATCATGCCCTAACACATGTGGCTAAAATGTATAGATATATTGGTTGCAGAAACAAAATATAATTTTCACAGACAAAAGATGCTTCAATCTCACCGAGGACAAATATCGACTGAGTCAAACCTTCCCTCCAGTTCATTGTGGAGATAGAACAGAAAATGGACGATTCCTTACTCTTCCTAGTTATATTGCTCATTAAAGGTGGTGACATTCTGAAGCACAAGGTTTGCAGGAAATGCACTGAGGACTTTTTACCAAATCAAAAATATGATAAGCACAAATTTCTTCCATCGTGACCTCAGGATATGCAGTGACGAGTTTCTACGTGTAGAAACTCGTCACAATCACAATCTTATTTAACTTTCTAAATGACTAAGAGAAAACTAGACAGTAATTACATTGTATCTAGATTTTCTTACCTTATGAAAGAGTATATTAAGAATATCTTGATCAGCTAGTTTGATCTTCTTTTTGTATTTGTCGAACATCTTCATATTTGCAGCAGTCCAGCCTTCAGAAAACTTTCTCATTCTAGTGATATTCATGTGCATGATCCCGGCGTTGAGTCCAGTTTTACCATAGAAAGGCACCTGGGATAAAATTATTATTTTAAATGATTACAAGTTACGTCATTAATATAAACTTTTAATCTCTGCATTATTTGCTAAACAATAAGATCAATAGGATCAAGCAACAATTCCAGTTAGAATGGAAGGAGTAAAAGTAAGACAGCACCGACAGAATTACTTGATTCCTCTGTATTGCATCGAGTGCATTAGTGAAGGGGATACTCCCAGAGCAGCACTTGAGAGGCTCTTTAAAAATTAAGGTTCCAAAACTTATCAAATGTGCAACGCAGTAGTTGACAAAGACCACAAACATTTCTATTGATATTGCCCCGTTGTGGGGAAACTAGTTTCAACGATGCTCAATATTGTCAAAACTCGCCTCGCAGTGATACGGGCGCTACGTACTGGACACTTCCTTTTAGTTACCCCTGAGTCCTCCTTAAGCACTCGCCCTGAAACTCTGGCCATTCACGTTGGTGGAATCTGTCGCTTTGCTGACCATATTCTCACCGAACACCGATGTATCTACAGGAGCGTGACACCAGACCGATATGGACTCAATGGTTATATCTGCTCTAGTCGAGAAGGAAACTATGCAAGATAAAAGAGCTTAATGATATTAAGCGAAGTCTTGCCACAACTAGTTGGCCATCAGAAATGGAACCAGACTTGACGGCAGGCGGAAGTGCCAGGATAGTTACCATGTAATGTACCCTGGAAGGACACTATGCGGTTGGCATGGGGCTACACACGCGAGTTTACAGTAACCGGCACTTTGACACACACACACACACACACACACACACACACACACACACACACACACACACACACACACACACACACACACACACACACACACGCTCACACACACACGCTCACACACACACGCTCACACACACGCTCACACACACGCTCACACACACGCTCACACACACGCTCACACACACGCTCACACACGCTCACACACACGCTCACACACACGCTCACACACACGCTCACACACGCTCACACACGCTCACACACGCTCACACACGCTCACACACGCTCACACACGCCCACACACTGTCAGGTGAAAAAATGCCTTTTCCAGACGCTCACGTCACTGAACTAACTTCTTGGATCATTGTAAATAAGACTAACCTTGTTTTTCCTGGTTCCATAATGGTATAAGCATGGTGCCATGGCTGCTAACTGAACATCATTAAACTTTCGGAACTCCTGCCATAGTTGCTCTGGCGGCCGTAGAAACACCAAGTCGGTATCAATGTATATTGCGGCATCGAGTTTGGGAAACATATCAGGCAGGAAGAGTCTCTCTGTGGCACACACACGGAACATAGATCGCATATCTTCTCTGTCAGCGGGGTACCACACATCACGATATTCAAAGATTACCCGCTTTTTGTACACCTGGGGCCAGGATGAAGTGGTATTTACGAACCGGAGAAAGAACTTCTTAGAGTCTGCCACCACAATAAACCTGACAATGAGAGTTAAACTTTGAAAGTCATATTATTACATCTTATGGTCGGTATCCAAAAATGATTACATAGGCACATCCTGGATAGATCTGTCATTTCAGCAGAGCCTTCAACATAGGAGGGATGTGGGTGGCCTTACTGTTATGTACAAGGTCAATATTGTCAAAGTACCACACTTGGATCCACTTCGAGGACAGCGTGAAACAAGCTTTTATGCCACAAGACGGGCAGAAAGCAGCAACTTCACTCTGGCTGTACCCTTCTCCAGAACATCACTCCATCTGAGATCATATATACCCAGGATGACTCGAGTATGGAACACATTCGTACAGCATAATGATGTCAACGAGATAAAGTCAGTTGAGCACATGAAAATGCTGGCCCACAGATGGCTCCAACTTCATCCTGTTTCCTACTTGTATGTCTCATAATAATAAAAATGCTTTCAATTGAGCTGATGTAGGTAACAGCTCTTAGCTTGCCAATAAAGTTAGGAATCCTTAACCTGAAAATAGCTTGTCAATAAAGCTAGGGATCCTTAACCTTGTCAAACCCTGTGAAAAAAAAAAAGCCCAAGGACTAGGCCTCAACATTTTAGTGCTAAGCACGTTACAGAACTGTTTACAAATTTATTGAGCAGAATCAATAACACTTAGCTCGTCAGTGACTTATTCATGTAGTCTCTGGACATCATCATAAACTATCACCTGGGATAGGGCTGTCGTTCATAGTTTTATTATGCAATAAGAGACTCGGAAATATTTACGATGACTGCTGAAAGCTAACATTAAAAGAGATGTAATTAATAATGAGAAAATTTATACAAGGTGTTTGATATCTGTTATATACTGGCACTTCAATGTATATGCTGTTACGAATAATTATGTAAATTATTTCAATAGAACAGGAAGAACGTATGTATACTACCGTAATTAAATATTATATGGCCTTTTCTAACATCTTTGTTCCACCAATGTATATTTTAAGCTGTGTATGATGCATAATAAATCATAAATATATGTAAATTTAAATATTACTGTGTATTATATATATATATATATATATATATATATATATATATATATATATATATATATATATATATATATATATATATATATATATTGGCCACTTTATTAGGTATATATGTATACCTGCTCGTTAATGCAAATATTTAATCAGCCAATCACGTGGCAGCACCTTAATGCCTAAAAGCATGCAGTCATGGTTCAGTTGTTCAGAACAAACATCAGAATGGGAGAAATGTGAACTAAGTGACTGACCGTGGAATGATTGTTGGTGCCAGACAGATGGGGTGGTTTGAGTATCTCAACCTCCTCATCTCCTGGTATTTTCCACGCAAAACATCCACTGACCGGAATTTGTGACTGAATGGCCAGACTGGTTCAAGCTGACAGGAAGGCAACAGTACTCAACTAACCACACGTTACAACAGTGATATGCAGAAGAGCATATCTGAACGCACAACACGTCGTATCTCGAAGTGGATGGACTACATCAGAAGACCACACAGGAAACTGGGGCTACAGTGGACACTGGTTCACCAAAACTGGACAGTTGAAGATTGGAAAAACGTCTTCTGGTCTGGCTAATCGCAATTTCTGCTGTGATACCTGGAGTTACCTGGAGAGAGTTCCGGGGGTCAACGCCCCCGCGGCCCGGTCTGTGACCAGGCCTCCTGGTGGATCAGATCCTGACCAACCAGGCTCTTACTGCTGGCTGCACGCAATCCAACGTATGAGCCACAGCCCGGCTGGTCAGGTACCGACTTTAGGTGCTTGTCCGGTGCCTGCTTGAAGACAGCCAGGGGTCTATTGGTAATCCCCCTTATGTATGCTGGGAGGCAGTTGAACAGTCTCGGGCCCCTGACACTTATTGTATTGTCTCTTAACGTGCTAGTGACACCCCTGCTTTTCATTGGGGGGATGTTGCATCGTCTGCCGAGTCTTTTGCTTTCATTGTGAGTGATTTTCGTGTGCAAGTTCGGTACTAGTCCCTCTAGGATTTTCCAGGTGTATATAATCATGTATATCTCCCGCCTGCATTCCAGGGAGTACAGGTTCAGGAACTTCAAGCGCTCCCAGTAATTGAGGTGTTTTATCTCCGTATATGCAGCAAGTAGCGTCAGAATGTGGTAGAATAGGAAATTCCCGCAGCATGAATGTGTAGCCGAAAAATGTGCAACTGCTTGATACTACCATATCAACAATGACCAGGATCTCTAAGGAATGTTTCCAGCACCCTCTTGAATCCATACCACGAAGAATTAAACTTCTGTGAAGGCAGAAGGGGGGGGACACCCTACCCGGTACTAAAAGGGTGTACCTAATAAAGTGGCCACTGTGTGTGTGTGTGTGTGTGTGTGTGTGGTGTGTGTGTGTGTGGTGTGTGTGTGTGTGTGTGTGTGTGTGTGTGTGTGTGTGTCCGTAAACAAAAAGATGGACAAGGGGACTGAATTGTGGTTCAATTCAGTTTCCGAATCTTTTCTATTAACTCAGTAGCTCAGTAGTAGAGCGCTGGACGTGCCAATCCCACGACCACAGTTCAATCCCTCCGTCCATCTTTATTCATTTACAGTCGTTTATTGCTATCTAAAGAGTTCATATATTGAGTGTTTACTTTGTTTTAAATATTTACAGTATCCTTCACCGATAGCGTACAGGTGGCACGCGACCTTAATGACCCCTCACGTAGTAGATAGGCTTTAAACCTATAATAAACCAATTAAAACAAATACAAGTTAAAACACTCGTTTCTGAAACTGATTAACAGTTCTCAGTAAGGAAACTTTCAACTCAAACTTTTCTCATGATTAACATATTAATTCTGGAGATGTAGGTTGATCTTTTTTTTATTATTCACCCAGATGGTTCCTTCATGGATAGAAACAGAAGTAACCTAGTTGATGAATGGCTGTTAATATAACAGTTAACTGTCAATCGAGAAATAAATGCTTGCTCATGATGATACTAACAAACTTGTTAAATATAAGGAAAAACACTCCTACACTCTGCTGAGAAGCGTCAAGATTTGCTAAAATGTTCTGGCATTTACATAAAGTGCATTTTCTTAAGATATTTACTACACAAACTGCATTTAGAGAAAGAGCACTAGGTGCTCTCTTCCACCTCTGATACCTGACTGCAAAGTAATTTGGCTTATTTCGTTATAAATTTGGCTGTCGACAAATTTATAACCAAATGTATGTCACCTGTAAAAGCCAAGCTATCCATATTTTAGGTATTAAAATATTACAAAGATCTGAATATACATTGAGAATTATACACCTGTCTGTGTATATGTCCTGTTGGTCACCTGAGAACAGATGTTGAAAGTGCTGCAGCAGACTTCAGCATGACAGCTGCCTGGCGCAGTTGTCTGGCAATATCAGAGGCTGTCTTCCCACCCTGATTGTCATTCGGTTTACCTGAAAAACACGAGTAATTTAAATTACCACTCATTCATCTTGAATGCCAATGAAGACATAAGTTAATTCCTATTTCATTACCTTTCCTTGAATGTTAAGTTATCACACTGCGGCGGCTTTCCTTTTTTTTAGTTTTTAATTGTGTCATTTTTGCAAATGTGTGATGTGCCGTTTAAATTTATAATCTCGGCGTAAAAATAACTCCAGCACTCATAGACTGAAACTTCTACAGCTACTATACCCACATTGGAACACTTATCTAGATCCTCAATGCCCTCATGAAGCCTCTGATTACCTTGTTAGTAAAAACATCGTGTGAGGGAGTATGGCGTGGAAAAAATCGTCCTGTGTGACGGAATATGACAGGAAAAATTGTGTGATGTAACATGACAAGAAAAGTCATTCTATGTGATGGAGTACAACAGGAAAAAAATCTTGTATAATGTGGTATGTCTGAAGGGAAAATTCATTCTGTGACGGCTGGCCACACAATGTGATGTTTCATATAAAACCTTTCAAGTTAAAGCCCCTGTTCTGGTGAAGAGCTTTTGATCCAGGAAACTTGAGTTACCCCTTCCCTTGGCTTTACCCCGATTACACCCACTTTAGACCGCTACATGACCCATAAGGTTTAGAGTTTCCCCATGAATATAATATAAGGTTTAGAGTCCCCATGAATATAATATAAGGTTTAGAGTCTCCCCATGAATATAATCCTAATATAAAAGACGAGGTGTTGATAATCTCAAATGTCTTTTTCTAATCAGTGAAGCTTATCAAAACATCTAACAGAAGAATTCTGCCTGATAACAAAACACAAGTTCTATAAGTTTCTTAAATTACAGAGTGATACAAGTTGATTAACAACTTATTTCTGAACATAAACTATGACATAAATCATCAATTTACCTTCACATAATATGATGAAGAATGTTATTTCTGCTGTGCCTTTATTGTGGAGACCAACACCTGTAATGGGAGTAACACTATGATCAGCTTCCATGGAGTACTTAACACTGCATTGCTGAAAATCTACACTTCCAAGGAGCTTTCAAGAAAAAGAAACTAAATTAATTCAGATGCTACTTGAAACCTCTTTTTCAGAGGTCATTAGCACCAATCTTCGGTTCACTTGGTTACAAGCAAGTATGGATTAAAGCAAACTCTCAGTGCATATACACAAAAGATCGACCCCCACTGTATTTAGACGACCATCCTCGCCACCATGACAGACACTACTCTGAAGCCCCAGCAGTATGCTTACTGAAGACTCTACCAGTTCCATCACCTTAAAAAATATTTCAAGACCACATTTTATGGAGCAAAAGAAAATTAATGTGTAGCATCATCAACAAGCCTTATTTTCTTAAATTTTGGATAAAGGTTTACTTTGATAATTGATTAATAGACCATTTAAAAACTTTGGAACGTTCATTTTGAGCCTCATGATATACACTAAGAGGTATTTATACACAACTTTGACTCCTTAATCTATGGATTAAAGTATTTCTCATATTAACGTCTACGTGGATTAATGGCTTTCGTGTAGTTAAGTGTTAAACTTGCTGAACTAAAACAAATAGTTTTAATATCTGTCAATATTCAGTAAACATCTTATTTGCCACACAAATTAGAATTGTACTGGAAAACGAAGGCTTTTTTTTTTTTTTCAAAATGTATTTGCTAGTTACTGTCGACTCTCAAAGAAAGGAAGCGATAAGTATCTGCCTGCAAAGAAACATTTGTCATTGTCTGGTATATGAAGGGATTAATTCTTATTGCCTGGTATTATCTGACGGGAATACAAACCATACCACGAGCGGGCATAGAACCCGCGGTCAGAGAGTCATAAAACTCCAGACCGACGTGTTAGGGAATACTTACCACTGTCCGGAGCTATGTGAAGGGAACTTCTAAGAAATTCCTCTACATTTTCTTTCCCAGCAAAGTTGTGTCTGACGAAGACTAGAATAATGACTACGTATAAGATCACAAGATATGGCATCACCTGTCCTCTCGTGCGAATCTGTAATTAAACATCAACAAGCTCATTAGAAAAGGCTAAGCTATGGTACTCATTAACAGAAATGTTCAAGAAGTACTTCAGGCTGTCAGAATAAAATTCCGTCTACATTATTTTCATATCAAAATTAGTGATATTTTCTGACGTCTACAGTTAAGCTAGAAGTTGCATCTCGAACCTCAAGCTTTCACTGCTCACTCAGATACGGCCAGCCTGAGAAAGCTTACTGTAAAACTAAATAATTCACGTTAAGCGCTAAACCCGTGTGGGTCATTCAGCACAAGATGTGGTGGGGGTTTGATCCTCCGTCTGCTGACTGCGAGACAGACGCTCTTCCTCTTTGTACTCACCTGTTTGTTAAAAAGCTTACTGTGAGCCAATTTCTTCTGAGTTATACACTAATCTGATTGAAGTAGGCATAAACTAATTCACATCTCTTAGCCGGACTGCATCTATCATATTTTCTTTAAAAATTGTATTAACTCTGTGACATTGATTCCCCTCAAGGAAGGTTCCTTGATGTTGGTGAGGGGCTCTTGATTTAGGGAATTGGATCTGTGTTCCAGTTTCCCAAATTAAGCCTGAATGCCTTCCACATCCCCCCCCCCTAGGCGCTGTATAATCCTCTGGGTTTAGCGCTTCCCCTTGATTATAATAATAATAATAATGTGACATTGATTGTATGCCCATGCCACAAGTATTTTTAAAATTAAAAAAAAAAAAAACAACGTTCGTGGCGTCTCGCCTTTAATACCTAATTTATCGTGTATAATTTTTCTCACAATAAGTTAGCACCTATCACCTCGTCTTGTATCTTTCTCTACCAGTGCCACTATTGCATTTGTGCTCTAGTGTAAACAACTCTGGGGTGTGTGTGTGTGTGTGTGTATGTATACACTCGCCTATTTGTACCCACCTATTTGTGGTTTCAGGGGTCGATTCATAGCTCCTGGCCCCGCTTCTTCACTGATTAATACTGGATCCTCTCTCTCCCTGCTCCATGAGCTTTATCAAACCTCGTCTTAAAACTATGTATGGTTCCCGCCTCCACTACGTCACTTTCTAGGCAATTCCACTGCCTGACAACTCTATGACTGAAGAAATACTTCCTAACATCCCTTTGACTCATCTGAGTCTTCAGCTTCCAATTGTGACCTCTTGCTTCTGTGTCCCATCTCTGGAACACTCTCTCTTTGTCCACCTTGTCTATTCCGCGCAGTATTTTATATGTCGTTATCATGTCTCCCCTGACCCTCCTGTCCTCCACTGTCGCCAGTATGTGTGCGCGCGCGCGCGCACGCGCTGGTGTAGAAAGCGGAACCATGTTCAGCAAACTGAGTAAAAATAATACTGAAGATTTTTTATCACTTCTCAGTTTGGGTTACCCAGGGGGAAGGTGCATGTATTACTACCCAGAGGTGGGGTGCATGTATTACTACCCAGAGGTGGGGTGCATGTATTACTACCCAGTGGTGGGGTGCATGTATTACTACCCAGTGGTGGGGTGCATATTGCGTAATCCAACAGTGTGATGCATATTCTGCTATCCAGTGATGGGGAGGGATGGGAGAGGTCAGTGGGTGTAACCACCAGATGTGTGATGGGCATGTAGACGTCAGTATCTCTCTCACAGCCCCATTAACATTTGTTGTGAAGGGATTCCTTATGAAAGATAACCCATCCTTTGCTCTCTCCACCTCCAGAAAAAAAATGGTTGGAATTCCTCCCGTAGTGATAATATAGCATTTATTGTGGTGGAGACGGAAAAAAAAATAGAAAAGCTAGATACAGCGATTGATAAACAAGGGTGGAGGTCGACCGTTCGTCATTGTAGGAGTGCCAGCAGTTTACCTGGAGAGAGTTTCGGGGGTCAACGCCCCCGCGGCCCGGTCTGTGACCAGGCCTCCTGGTGGATCAGCCCCTGATCAACCAGGCTGTTGCTGCTGGCTGCACGCAAACCAACGTACGAGCCACAGCCCGGCTGATCAGGAACTGACTTTAGGTGCTTGTCCAGTGCCAGCTTGAAGACTGCCAGGGGTCTGTTGGTAATCCCCCTTATGTGTGCTGGGAGGCAGTTGAACAGTCTCGGGCCCCTGACACTTATTGTATGGTCTCTTAACGTGCTAGTGACACCCCTGCTTTTCATTGGGGGGATGGTGCATCGTCTGCCAAGTCTTTTGCTTTCGTAGTGAGTGATTTTCGTGTGCAAGTTCGGTACTAGTCCCTCTAGGATTTTCCAGGTGTATATAATCATGTATCTCTCCCTCCTGCGTTCCAGGGAATACAGGTTTAGAAACCTCAAGCGCTCCCAGTAATTGAGGTGTTTTATCTCCGTTATGCGCGCCGTGAAAGTTCTCTGTACATTTTCTAGGTCGGCAATTTCACCTGCCTTGAAAGGTGCTGTTAGAGTGCAGCAATATTCCAGCCTAGATAGAACAAGTGACCTGAAGAGTGTCATCATGGGCTTGGCCTCCCTAGTTTTGAAGGTTCTCATTATCCATCCTGTCATTTTTCTAGCAGATGCGATTGATACAATGTTATGGTCCTTGAAGGTGAGATCCTCCGACATAATCACTCCCAGGTCTTTGACGTTGGTGTTTCGCTCTATTTTGTGGCCAGAATTTGTTTTGTACTCTGATGAAGATTTAATTTCCTCATGTTTACCATATCTGAGTAATTGAAATTTCTCATCGTTGAACTTCATATTGTTTTCCGCAGCCCACTGAAAGATTTGGTTGATGTCCGCCTGGAGCCTTGCAGTGTCTGCAATGGAAGACACTGTCATGCAGATTCGGGTGTCATCTGCAAAGGAAGACACGGTGCTGTGGCTGACATCCTTGTCTATGTCGGCTATGAGGATGAGGAACAAGATGGGAGCTAGTACTGTGCCTTGTGGAACAGAGCTTTTCACCGTAGCTGCCTCGGACTTTACTCTGTTGACGACCAGTCACCGGCTCTTCAACACGCAAGTTATACTTTTTTATCAATCAAATCACATATTACTCGGGTAAATAATTTCCAGTAGATCCTTCATGTGTTAGCTCAAATCACCGACCAGTATAGTTTAAATAAGTGACCCACTGATCAGATCAGATAGACTGGTCCGAACCCTTGACTGGTCCGAACCCTTGACTGGTCCGAACCCTTGACTGGTCCGAACCCTTGACTGTTCCGAACCCTGGACTGGTTTCAAACGGTTTCGTTGTGCACTACCTAGCAGGTTATTAATAGAATATTCAAGAGGTTGCTAGTAGAATTGCAGTAAATCAACCATTCAAATCATTATGAAGCTGTGTGTAGTCTGTGGTCAGTCAAACAAACGGGCTTCCACATGCATAAATTGTCATTTTTGTGGAAATTGGTGTCACGCCCCTTGTGCAGATATCCAAGAACTAGCTACAACCAGTATTAAAACAGGGAAGTGTTTTTGGGTATGCCCAAATGAGATAAATCTGTGAACTAAAATCACAAGGGTATTAAAAGAGGTCAACATCAAAGCTGCTTTCATAGAAAACCTGGAAGCTTTCTACAACAGATGGGAACATAAAAAGTCTGGGCTGAATGGTACTGCCCTTGATACTGCCATGTAGTCAGAAACTGTAAGGCTGGAGATGATTTCCTGTAGTCAGTAAATGGGGGGCTGACAGTGCTGTCCTGGGAGACAGTAATGGTGAAGCTGGAGGTGCTGTCCTGGAGACAGTAATGGTGAAGCTGAGGTGCTGTCCTGGGAGACAGTAATGGTGAAGCTGGAGATGCTGTCCTGGGAGACAGTAATGGTGAAGCTGGAGATGCTGTCCTGGGAGACAGTAAAGTGAAGCTGGAGATTTTGTCCAGGTAGTCGGGAATTATACGCAGGAAGAATACATATAAATGACCTCAAAGGGGACAGGAGCCATAGTAGGGAAACAAGTGTAGTCAAAGATAAGATAAAACCAATATTGCAAACTAGAAATACCGCAGGAAATAGCAAACAAGAGGACTCCACTAGCAATAGTGAGGATATAATTACCAAAAACAACTGGTGGGAGCTCCATTGTTGGTGCTAGGGAGGATAGAAGTAAGACAGGGAAACATGCACCAACAGGAATACAGTCACAGAAACCCAAGGCAAACGGAAACCAAGCCTGTGCACATACTATGCACTCGGTATCTGCTGGCATGGGAAATCTGGAAAAACAGATGGGACGTGAAACTATGACCACCCTAGAGAAAATGCCATGCCCATATGACAACAGGAAAATGCAAACTCCCTTCCTGTAAGCTTTTTCACCCTGAACTGTGTACCTCTTCAGTACAGGAAAGACTGTGCTATAACTTAAATTGCCAGGCATACCATCTAAAGGGGACAAAAAGATACAAAACATCCAGGCCATGGGAAAACCTGGGTAGCCACAGCCATTCAAGAGGGAGAGGTTTTTTAGTGCCAGGAAGGAAAAAAAACTGGCAGGAAATGGCAGAAATCGTACACCAAATCCAGTCATTCCTGGAGTGGAACCACAGTCGATGGCCTCCACTCCAAACCAACAGATACAGATACATAATGCCGGAAAAAAATCCCCCCCCAGTACCAACAATACCACCAGTCCGATAACATTCTTCTTGGCAAATATACAGGGTCTAAAGCCAGCAACAAACAACAAAATACCTTTCATCCGTGGACTGCTTGCAGAGGCAAAGGCAATGTTCGCGGCTTTCACTGAGACCCACATAAGGGATCACTTGGACAACGAAACATGGATCCCAGGTTACAACCTATACAGATGTGACAGAGTGAACGGGCAAAAGGGGGGGGTTGGCCTGTACATTGCAGAGTCACTTGTTTGCACAGAACTGCTAAATGCCTCAAATGATGTAGTGGAAGTTTTAGCAGTAAAGGTCGAGAACCAAAACCTAGTCATTGTGGTAGTCTACAAGCCTCCGGATGCAACATCCCAGCAATTCCAGGAACAGCTGTTAAAAATTGACCACTGTCTGGAAAACCTTCCAGCTCCTGCACCCAACAT